AGGGGTCAAGGACAGCACAACCCCTACCCACGCAGAACTACAGCCAGACACACAGCTGAAGCGACCCAGTGCATTTGCCTGACTACTGAAATATATTGTTGAATATTATAATACAGAGTAGTTAGCGACAGCTAGCTACAGCTCTCAGCGACAGATGTCACCAGTGGTCATAGTTAGTTTTGGCACTCCAGTTACAGCGTAGTCGTTTGTGGGGTCGAAAGCTACTGCAGCAGCAGCAGCAGCAGCAGCAGCAGCAGCAGCAGCTCAAGCAGCAGCGGCTGCAGCAGCAGAGGATGTGTCTTCTGTAGGGACTGTGCTAAGAGACGTGTTAATGAAGGGCAGGAGGTAGTGCGTGTCTGAGTGCTGGGGATTCAACTTGCGTGGTTGCTGCTGCTGCTGATGGTGTTGCTGCTGCTGCTGCTGCTGCTGGTGAGCGCGGAGCGAAGAGCTGTTGCGGGGTTTGTTGCCTGCAGCAGTCGTTCAGCCCGTCGCCTGCTTTCGGGGGGATAGGCTTGGACTGGGATGCAGATATTCTTTCACTTTCACAAAACTACGAAGGAATGCTGCAGCGCGTTGGTTGGGTGCTGCTGCGCCCCTTCGTCAGTCTTCTGGGTTGCGGCAACACGCCGGTCATTCAGCTGCTGCAGCACATTGAGGTGAGTTTCGTCTCTACATAGTTTTTTTTTTTCGTCTACAAATATAGATACAAAGAAACACGAAAACTACACTAGGAGAGGCAGGGACAAGGCGGTGTTTCTGTATACTGAACAGCTGCACAGAGCCGCTTTCTTTACGAGTAATCACAAGTTTATAAGTGACAGACGAAGGAAATGTTGTTGAGTTTGTTTTTTTTTCTTTTGCATGCATGTGGCTGCGTCTGTTGGCCAGGCCGGCTATGACCCCGATATCCCGTATCACACGGCTACGCACGCGGCGCAGGTGGCGCACGCGGCGATGGTGTTGAACACCAAGCTGGATCTAGACCCAGGAAAGTGAGTGAATGCAATGACTGACCTCTTGTGCATTCTTTAGGTCTACGTAGCTGTCTGTACACCTGAAGCTGAGATGCACTTCGCGCATTTTCCACCCGCGCAGCAGCTTTCCTTGGTGGTCTTGTGGCAGATAAGGAGTGCCTGTATTGGACTTTATCGTAGATGTATCATAACTAGCCACAGCTAGCCACAGCTAGCCAGAGCTAGCCAGAGCTAGCCAGAGCTAGCAGCGAATGATGATAACCAGTAGTCATAGGTACCACCTGTGAGGCGAAGTGTGTTCAGGGAGAAGACGGGAACTTTCTGTTTGGGGCTGGCAGCGTTGGCGCACGATGTAGGACATTTGGGAAAGACGAACGGCTTCTTGCAACAATCCAGGCATCCGCTCGCCACCATATACAACGACCGATCTATCCTTGAAAACTTTCACGCATCCGTCTTGTTCAGAATCATCAACGAAATGTAAGACCAATGGCTCCTTATATATATATATATATATATATATATATATATATATAT